GAATGGTTTAAATCTCATTATAAAAAGGCGACAAATATTTTAAAGCAAATAATATGACAGTCACTTACCTTGTTACTTAAGTTCTCTGTTCAAGAAATGAAACAGTTCCGAAGCTTTGGTCCGTGCACAGGTACAGGCTTATGAAGATTAGTTCCGGGAAGATGTCAACTGACACAGAAGATCCTCCCTTCTTCTCCTTACAAGTAGCTTTAAATTTTTGTTTTTATACAGTCACTGTAGTTTGGGAGTTTTAAAGTGAAACGCACAATTCTTCTCTTCGCAAAAATATTCAAAAACAAGATCTACATGGCACTTCCGGTCATCATATTATTCAAATACATTCCTTGGTCTTACTCTCTTTTCCAGTCTTGTATACGCAGTTATAATATTGCTGTGCCCCGCCTATGGGTAGGCATCCCGTTTCACGACGTTATTGGAAGATATTGTGAACGTTTCTAGCATTATTACTATAACTAGAGACTCATTCGTTTACATATTTTGTTATTCACAAAACTACGCTACACACTTGATAAGCTTAAACATTATTTTGTGCAAATATCGTGGTTGACACGAGAGAAGATTTTATTTATCTGAAAACTGTTCTGTGACAGAAATACGCCACGTCCCGTAATGCAGTATTAATTTTCACAAAATCACGACACGCAATGGATGGGCGTTGTACTCATTCTACTTCACGTTTGCTTCATATTACGCCTCAGAATGCAGTGCGTTTGTTTTGCAGTTCAAAGTTTACACAGAATTACTGATGTTCAGTGCTCAGATAATGAGATAATTTTGGCAGGAATCACTCTAATTTATATCTGAAACGATAAAAAATATTTTAAAATCCAAACTAAAATAAATATTAGCAATGTTTCGTAATGTTTTATAACAAAATCTTCACTTTTGTTCACAACTCGAGCGTAACAGAGGGCGGCAGAACATAGATTAATCAACGGAAAAATAAATTAACGTTTCGAAATATTGCGCCACATGATGAGTCACTTTCTGAACACAAATCTCAACGACAGTCCTCAAGCAAATTCATTACGCATTTTAAACAAAATGTTGAATCTTGAAGCAACTTTCACATCTCAATTACTATTTCGTTCCCAATATATCTGAAAAGAACTGGAGACAAATTCGGGTGCCGCAACTATACACGTCCCGACAGCAATAATGCACAGGGGTTTGGATGAAAACCCTGCTAGCTGGGTTTG